TTCTTGAAGGCTGTTTTTTATCAAAATTTTCCTTCTTTTAGGGGCTTTCTGATGAAGGGAACTTTCAAAAATCATTTCCTCAAAGTGGATGAATTGATTCACATTTTAGGAACACATTTTCAGCTCAAATTTTAGGAAATAGGTTGGAAATCTATAAAATAGTGGAGAGAATCTAAATTCTTGTCTCATTTGGTACGCGAGAACGAGGAGGAATGGAATGCAATTCCAACATATCATTCATGCTTATCAAATATAATGTGTTTTTGGATGCTAGAAATGTCATTCTCACTTCTCATTAATTCTCATTTAATGTGGGGATTGCTGTTGGAAGTTGTGGTTAAATCTGGAATTAAACTGAGAAAATAGATGTGCTGTAATTTTAATTTTTTAGTTCACTGTTGTGCGTTATAGAAACGCTGTGCTTAAAGCAATATTTGGCCTACTCCGGTGCAAGGATCCCAAGGCCAAACTGCTTCCAGGAACAGCAGTACAGTACTCTGGTGTGCACCAACCCAGTACTGTCAAGATCTCCTCGATCTATAAGACCTTTCGGTCAAGGCAAAAGATCTTCTCAATCTCAGAACCTTACGGTTCAAAACATTTCGGTTTAAGACAAGTTCCTGTGGGCACAAGTTCCTGTAGCAGCAGCACAACAGCAACAACGTCGGGATCGACGTTCGTTTTCAGCACGCGATGTTCGTGTTCCACGCACGCGAGAGGATTTTCAGCTCTCGACGTTCGTGTTCCACGCTCGTGAGAGAATTTCCAGCAGCAACCAAGAGCTGCCCAAGGACGCTATTTATAGGCCTCTAAGGCCAGCTCAAGAGTCACTAGCAATTAGTGTGACCATTACAATTCTTAATGACAATTAAGATTGTAACATCAATGCATTAAATTGCTCTTAATGCTGTTGTAACTGCTGCATGCATTAACTCCTGAATACAAGGCAATCAATGGACGCGTTGCTACGAAACGCGAGGGTCAAGTCTCAACAAATCAGACGAACCTCGTTTGACAAATGAACGTCGTCAAACAGGCGAACCTCGTATGACGGACGAACCTCGTCGAACGAACGAACATCGTCAAACAGGCGAACCTCGTATGACAGACGAACGTCGTCGAATGAACGAACATCGTCAAACTACGAGAACGCTAGGGTCACCCTCGTGCGAATACATAGCTCGTCTGCATGCTGCGAAGCAGCCTGCGAGGCAACATTCGTGGCGCCAAACAGCGCCACCTCGCCCCGATGCCTCTGTGCGAAGTGCAAAGTGCGCCTAACAAAGCGCCACTTAGCGTCTCAGCCCGATTAGCCCCGATCCCCGGCCCATTGGCCCACGGCCCACGGTCTACTAGAACTTATGAGGGATTAATTCAAATAAAACATTTCTCGGCTTGCTGTTGGCAAGCCTCGGACAAGGGACCTTTTGAAACATCAAAACATAAACTTTCCACTAGGCTACTAAGCATTTATGAAAAGTACTTGTAGTTAATATATATATATAGTTTGAAAACTCATTTTGGAAAGCAGTTTTGACCAAAAAATGTAGTTAATATATATATATAGTTTGAAAACTCATTTTGGAAAGCAGTTTTGACCAAAAAATCCAACAATTGCTATTCCCAACGAGTTACTAAGAAATTGATATTCCCACTTAATTATCAAGGAAGTGATATTCTCACTTAAGTGAGAATGAAAATAACAAAATAAATTTTGGATGAACCATTCTTAAAGATATTCCCACTTAATTCTTTAACCGCGTCCAAACATAAAAACGAAAATGAACATTCCATTCTCACGTCAAATCCATTTCATCGCTATCTTTCATTGCATTCTCATCTGGCTTCAATCATGCAAAACAGGCGTTAACACTTGACTCCTTGTCCCTATTTCATTAATTTATTTTTGAGTAACGTCTTCTCATGATTCATGCTCCTGCGAGACAAACGTGATGTAAATTATTACCAACACTACTCCTTTCTAATTACGGAAGGAAATCCCCGCATAGAAACATCGCTTTACTCCTGACAAAATTTAAAAAAAAAGATAAAATAAAGAAACAAAGAGGGGCAAACTCGTCTTTTCTCCTCACCATTCCACGGGCTCCTGCCATATAACTACCCCGGATTCACTCCGCGTCCGCACCGCCAAACCACCCTTGATTTCGTTTCAAGGAAACCTCGAAGCTCAGAAACTCGAAAGCCGAGGAACAGGGGGGAAAATAAAAAGAGAACGAGAGCGAGGGGGCAAAAAAAAAAACTAGGGTTTTATTTTAACAAAATGGACGAAAGGGAATCGAGGAGGAGGAAGAAGAGGGTGAGCCTCGTCGGCCACGTGCCGATCATTTGCGCGCCACCGCGATCTCGAGAGGGGATCTATCAGAGGGACGGCAGCCACTATAGCTCTCCAGCGGCATGCTGCCCTCGCTCGGCGCTCGAAGCAATCGCAGGGTTAAGCTTCGTGGATTCATTGTATCTCCCTACGATAAGAGATATCGGTAATAATTTGCGACAAACTAGATCAAATTTTTTTTTATATTTATTTATTATTTTTTAAAATTTATTACATGTTACTATTATGATATGATATATCTGGGGTCGAACTCTATTGAATATTCTATGATATGCTCGATGCTAAAAGGTATTGTTTTGTAGCTTTCTGTTTATTTTCGTTGATTGATTAATTGAGGGTGGGGGAGCTCGGGGGACGTGTTAAGATGGTGGGGTTGGATTGTGGAAAATTTTCGATCGGCTGGTTGTATATTTTCTTACACGGGGATTTTAGCGAGAGAAAAGTTGAAACAATTGATTAATTTTGATAGGATTGATAGCGGATGACACGAGAAATCTGAAAAGTTTCAAATAATCTACTCCTCTATAAAATGGGAGAACCCAACGTTCACTATTCATATATTTTTTTGAAAATAGCACAGTAACACACTGGAATACTGTAGCGTAGTGTATGCGGATACTGTAGCAGATGCGGATACTGTAGCAATCCAAAATTCAGAAATACTGCAGCAATTATAAACCAGGATTACTGTAGCGGGGGAAAAATAAATAACATGTTTTGCACGGTGTTCACACTAGTTATAGTCACTTTGTGGAAAGTGCTAGGCTTGATGTTGTTGTTTAAACTTTTGGGTGACACATAATACCTTGAATTTCTGCACGGGCTCATGTGTCTTGACAAGTACTTTCCATGTGAACCAGATATTATTATACTAAGGTCCAAGGACAAGGCACTATTTTTTATTTTTTGGAACTTGATCATTGGCAATACTATTAGTGAATGTTACTTAAACCAATCCTTTTGAAAAGTCCTGATGTGTAGGGTGGCAGTTTAATAACTATCAAATTCAACTATTGGATTGCAGATAGACCTCCGGTAGTTTCGCTGTTTTAAACTTACTACCCCTCTTGTTGTATTTTTGCAAGTAGACCCCTGTGTGAAACTTTTTTACCCTTTAAACCTTTGGGGTCTATCTGTCAAAACAATTCTTTTTATCTGAGGGTGACGAGGGTAGCAGAGCCAAAAAATATCACTTGTGGAGTCTATCAGCAAAAATAAAACTAGAAGGGTAGTACGCTCAAACAGCTATACTATGGCCCCTTATTTTTTAAATCTCAACCCTTTGAGTTGGTAAATGGTGAGAAAACCATGGACAATAGAATGAGAAGAATTCTTGAGAATGAGATGGTGTTAAAATTTGTTGATTAGGTTAGGAATGTCTAATCGTGCTTCTTTGTCCATGAAGGGCTAGGGACTTACAAAATGAGTTGATACTGCACATAATTCTCCATGTAGCTAACTCTTTCTTAAGAAGAAAATGTTGTTGCAGAGATAACTCCAATCTTAGACAAAGACAAAGGTAAGATGGAATTTTGTTAAACTTTTTCTTTTTCTATGTGCTAAATTAAGGAAATTTAAGGACCTGTGGTTTTGCTGTTTAAGTTATTCCATCCTACCAGTTGATTATGTATCTGATACTGATCCTGTTGCTAGTTTGTTGCAGGGCATGGCAAACCTTTCTGATCCTTTTGGTTGTCTATACAGCATGGGTATCTCCATTTGAATTCGGGTTCGTCAACAGACCAAGAGGAGCTCTAGCCGTTACAGACAATATTGTTAACGCATTCTTTTTTGTGGACATCATCTTGACCTTTTTCGTGGCCTATCTTGATAGAGTCACATATCTTCTGATAGACGAACACAAGCGGATTGCAAGGAAATATGTATTCAGCTGGTTTATTCTGGATCTTATTTCCACTATTCCTAATGAACTCGCTCGGAAGATACTTCCAGAAAATGTCCGAGATTTTGGATTCTTTAACATGCTTCGCTTGTGGCGTCTTCGGAGAGTTAGTTCTCTTTTTGCTCGGTATGATTGCTCCTGTCATTCCAATTTCTAAAGTCATCTTTGTCTCTCTGGATTTCCTTAATCTTATTTGTATTTAGTTAAGCTATAGATGTTTTTTTCCTTTAGTTTGATGGTATTGTGGTGTTTAAAAACTCTTGGTTTGTTTAAATGAGTCGTACTATAAAGGTCAGACTTTCAAATATTGGACTCATGTTTATTTTTCTATGTTCTGCTAGAAGTGACGAAGTTCTAGCCTTAGTAGGTCATAACACGCTCTTCTGCGCTCTGTGATCCTGTTCTCAAAACTATATATCTTTTATTAACTTGGTACGTTTTACTTTATATTTGAAAGACTTAATTGCTTTCACATTATAACATGTGCAGCTAACATGGTTCAACTGTCGCTTTAAATTCCTAGTTCAATATAATATCTATTTAAAATTTCAATTAGCATCTTAATTAATTTTTTTACTGGATATAGTCATTTTGCATCTGAAAGACAAGTGTTTTCCAAGTTAAACCACATCTATGTACCAAACAAACAGCATTTCAGGTTTTTCTGCAGATTCATACTATAATATAATATCTATGTTAAACATTTTTTCCCGGTTAATATAGAAGATTAGTTGAAGCACCTCCCCCTCTTCTCTTCCTTTATGTCCCCAAACTCAAATAATTTGGCCTCAGATGTATGTGTTGGCTTGAAAAGAATATTCGTTCTGGTATTTGCTCAATGCTCATTACCAACATTTGGTAGACTGCATTAGTGAGGACATTATTGACAACTTGGACACCATCTTGTTATTGAACCATAATTTTCGACTTGGAAAAAATAATCCCACCAAAGGATAGTGCAAGATACATGAACATTTGAACGCATAATTGAATAAGAACATATCACATGCCTATAGAACCAGCTATCTTGTATGGATTGGATTGTCAAATATTAAGAAACTACATGTTACCTAGTATGTTTCTGAAAAAGGAGTGCAGCTAAGTTATAAATATTGAGATGGTGATTGAAATATACAAAACTATAAGATGAGAAAGTATTTGCACTTCAATAAATTGGGATACCTTCAACCGAGATAGGATTAGAAGGTAGAATTTGTTTCAGATGGTTTGGACGTGTTTAACAGAGAAACTGTTTCACAAAGAATGTAGATGGTAATTTAGCGAGTGGCAAGGTAGGGGTAGATCCATACAAAGATAAATATGGAAATTAAAAATATAGGATGGTTCCTAACTTGGGAGAGGAGATTGGTCCCTAACTTGGGTTGGGGGATCAGAGCTGAATGAAACCTGAGTTATGTAGCTTCCTCATAAATATTTGTTGGATAAGTACCCTTTTGTTTGTTATATCTGTAGTAATTTCGCTAAACTATCAGACAAAGAAGAAAATTTATTGTTATTATTTTCGCTTAACCAGGCAAGTTGCCCAGGGACAAAGAATAAAACTTCTTGTACGGAGAATATTTATTTTTATGCCAACCCAAGGGAGAACATTTAAGTTGAACTTTTCTCTTATATTATATAAGCATATTCCTTATACAACTTAGTTCTCTGGAGTTAAACCTGTACTATGAGAAAAAGAAGAGAAAAATAATTCTGCGATTCTTTCGTTCTAACTTGCCAAGGGAAAATTTGTGGGATATTTTAATGACTTCCCCACTGCACTGCATTGGCTTAGGGGCTGTTTGGTTGTTTTCCAAAAAAAAATCGGAAATGGAAAACTCACATTTCAACTCATTTCAAGCGATTTCAAGACACTTCCCGCATTTCTTTTTTTTGTTTGTTTCGCAATGAAATCACCGTCATGTCACATAAGAAACAAATCCACCTGCAATAGTAACATCGTTTCGATTTCCATTTCTTGTGTTTGTTTGAACATAAAAAAAATGACATGGAAATCAACCGCAATAGTAACGGTGTTTTCAGCAATTAAATAATTTGTTTTATTCACAGTCACTGTTTCAACAGTGCTTTTAGTAATTAAAAATTCATTGAAGTGACATTTTCAAGTGTTCTCAGAGGTTTTTGGTGTGAAAATACTTTTCTTAAAAATCTGACGTGTCATCCTACGTGGCACCCTCATTTCTTTAAATCACAAAACGAAACAAACATGTGATTTGGAAATCGGTTGAAACCAAAATCCTACATGGCAGGGGGGTTTCTTGAAATCTGACGTGGCGGGGGGTTTCTCATTTTTTTAGCAAACAAACAGCCCCTTAGGAGAAATAAAAGAAGTAAAAATGTGGGGAATTTTTTTGTCCAAATCTTTTTTTAGTTTTCTAGTATACTGAATCTAAATTATATGAAAACACTTTAATCTTCTTTCTACTTCTGTGCTTTGATTTGCCAGATTAGAGAAAGACAGGAACTTCAATTATTTCTTGATTCGATGTGCAAAACTTATTTGTGTAAGTTGCTTACCTTTTAGATATCTCCGTATTTCCCCCCTGTAATTAGACCAGCATTGAATCCAACTGGATTGTTCCATAGGTCACCCTCTTTGCTGTACATTGTGCTGGGTGCTTCTACTACCTTCTTGCAGCAAGATATCCGGATCCAAGCTTGACATGGATTGGAGCTTCTATGCCAGATTTTCATAATAGAAGCTTGTGGATCCGTTATGTGACTGCAATGTATTGGTCAATTACCACTCTTACAACTGTCGGGTATGGAGACTTGCATCCCCAGAACATGGGGGAGATGATCTTTGACATTGCTTACATGCTCTTCAATTTAGGATTGACATCATATTTGATTGGAAATATGACCAATTTGGTAGTTCATGGGACCAGCCGAACTAGAAAGTTTGTGAGTTTCCTTCTCATTGTCGCCTCTGGCCTTGTTCCTAAAGCTTAAAGTGTAATGCTTACCTTCTTAACCTTCCAGTACCACCAATGAACATATAGGTGTATTGAAATGCAGAGAGATACAATTCAAGCGGCATCAAGTTTTGCACAAAGAAACCAACTCCCAGACCGACTCCAAGATCAGATGCTCGCCCATCTCTGTTTGAAGTTTAGGACAGACTCAGAGGGGCTCCAACAACAAGAGACTCTTGATGCCCTACCTAAGGCCATTCGATCTAGCATTTCTCATTACTTGTTTTATAATCTTGTTATGAAAGTCTACCTATTCAAGGGGGTTTCTTGTGACCTACTTTTCCAACTGGTATGACACTAAATGTTGCTGACATGCTGGTCCCTTGTACATCACTACTCACCCTTTTACTTTGATAATTACAGGTGTCAGAAATGAGAGCTGAGTATTTTCCTCCAAGAGAAGATGTAGTCTTGCAGAATGAAGCGCCAACAGACTTTTATATACTGGTCACTGGTTCTGTGGTAAGAACGAAAAAAACATTTTCCCCTAAAAGATAAACTTAGAATGGAGTTATATTATTCAATGTAGAGATACGCTGCCCAGTAATTAAGAAGGTTACTTTCAAGTTCTAATTAAGGTTTAAAGCCAACTTACCATGTGCCCAATATTGATTTATCATCCATCCTTTCAGGACTTGATAGATGAAAAGAATGGGACTGAGCAGGTAAGTTTTCATTTTGTTGGTTTATAAGTCAAATAGTTGTTAAAGATTGATATCCTAATTGTTGGTGTAAAGCAATCCTAGATTTTTTTTTTCAATTACAGGTTGTTGGAGAGGCCAAGTCTGGTGATGTTTTTGGAGAGATTGGAGTACTATGTTATAGGCCGCAGCTGCTGACAGCCCGCACCAAGAAGTTGTGTCAGCTATTGCGTTTAAATCGTACTTCATTCCTTAGTATCGTGCAATCAAATGTTGGAGATGGAACTATAATCATGAGCAATCTATTACAGGTTCGTAATTGAATACCCTTTTAACTAATTTGAGGTTTAGGCTTCTCCACACAAAAAAACGCCCTCAAACATGTACACATATCTTGGTCAAACATATGTATATTCATAAACTCAGCAGATTAAGAAAGTATGCTCAAAAGCTGAACAGTCTTTCTTTTTTCCCCCTTGGTGGATTACAGTATTTGGAAGAGCACAAGGATAATGGAATGGGTGGAATCCTAAGTGAGGTACAGAGGCTGTTGACTCGAGGTCGGCTTGATCTGCCGCTCACATTATGTGGTGCCATTAATAGAGGAGATGATTTGATATTGGAACAGCTTCTGAAACGTGGTCTTGATCCAAATGAATCCGACAGTACTGATCACACAGCACTGGTATGTTTTATAAGATCTTTATTTTTCATGATGATTGTAAGCTCTTTATTGTTCATGATGATTAATTTTCCATGTGAAAAATATGTTGAAGTAAATTATTCTTGATTTGCAATTTTTTCCCTGTCATAATCAGCACATAGCAGCTTCCAAAGGAAATGTAAATGCTGCTCGTCTCCTGCTTGATTATGGAGCAAATCCCAACAGCAAAGGTATGATGCAAACAATCTGGCAGTCTCCTTGTGTTCTTTTTAATTCATGATTTACACTTTGTATAGGAAGATGAGGGTAAGGGGCAGATGAAAGGATATTAACAGAGAAATGCTTTATTGTTCTTTAGTATGGATAATTTTTTTCCTGCCTAACAAACTAGCGATCATCTACTGAAATGCATGATCTACACTGGCCATTCTTGTGCAATGGGTGTGGGTGAAATTTATACCTGCAGCTTGGGGAATTTTTAGCCATCAATCAAGTAGTCCCTTCTGTAGTGTATTGAATAGCCCTTCATTTTACAAACATCAAATGAATAGGTTGTAAACATTCAAGCATATGGCTTTTTGTGCAAATATCATATCAAGAAACATTAATTGATCAAAATGAAGGAAACGGATTATCCATTTGGATGACCCTTAGTAGATAGGATGGCCCAATGAAGCACTACCCTACATACTCAGAGACAAATACATGCACATGTGCATATGTGTAACATAATGGTTGGGGCATAACAAGTAAAATTGATTGCGTCATGATCTTTTTATTTCCTCATCTTTTCCCCCTCTTCATTTTTCTACTTGGCACCAAACAGATCAATATCTGTCTAGTTTCCTTTCATTTCACAGAAACAGGTGATACCTCCCTCTTTCACCCTAGTACTTTACTATCACAATATTAAATCTACACGTTCTCTAACATTTACTTGAATGTTATCAAAACAAGTTAATCCTGGACAGTATAGTTTACAAACTAACATATCTGCTGCATTCTTGTTCAGATCTCCAAGGAAGCGTGCCTTTGTGGGAAGCCATCCTTGGAAAGCATGATGCTGTTGTCAAGATTCTCTTAGACAAAGGTGCAAATCTCTCTGCCGGTGATGTCAGTTTATTTGCATGCATTGCTGCTGAGCAAAATAACCTCGAGTTAGTAAAGGACATTGTGCACTATGGAGGAGAAGTAACTTTACCCAGGGCTGATGGCAACACTGCCCTTCACTTAGCTGTTTCAGAAGGAAACATTGAAATGGTGAAGTTCTTGGTGGACCAAGGAGCGGAAATCGACAAGCTCAATAACTTTGGATGGACCCCTCGTGGCCTAGCCGATCAACAAGATCACGAAGAGATCAAAAGTTTCTTCCAAAGCAAAAGAGCTTGCTCAGATGATATTGACATCAAGATTAGTTCCAGGGAACCAGCAGTTAATTTCATTGGGAGATTTCGTAGTGAGCCAGTGATCCATTATTTCACCGATGAAGGCTCAAATTCATCAAGAGGCAGGATTCATGGGATTAGTAGTCATCGAAGGAGAAAGATTACTAATTTTCAGAACTCTTTATTTGGGATCATGTCAGCAGCTCATGGAAGTAATAGTAACGATGGATTGCTATCAGTAATGCCTCCTCTTAGTAGGAGAAGCATTGATGACCAAAATCCTCTTAGAGTAACAATTTGTTGTCCTGAGAAGGGGCACAATGGTGGCAAGCTCGTCCTTTTGCCAGGATCTATCAAAGAGTTACTTGAGATCGGAGCTAAAAAATTTGGGTTCTTGCCAACTAAAGTCCTTAGCCAAGATGGAGCCGAGATAAGTGGGTTGGATGTTCTCAGAGATGGTGACCGCCTTCTTCTAGTGAGCGATGATTGGAGTGGTGAGGTTGACAATGTTCGAAAAATGGTAGATTCATGATGATGTGTAGAGAAAAAAGGCGTCTGTATGTTTGTATCGAGGAATTTGAGTTCAGATTTCCCTCAAGACTTGAATCTGAAAACAAGGGTACATCACATGAGGAACAAAATGGATTGCATTTCTTACGTACAAGTTTTTTGTCAAAAACTAGCGATTATCGGATGCAAAATGTACGACAGATAGACAAAAATTTTGTACTATACAATATACAAGGAAAGCAAAAAAATATATGAAAATTTTAAAATGAGCAAACAGGAAAAAGAAAAAGAAAATTCTGCATCTTGGTAATGTGTTGCGTTTAGTTTCGATACCGAGGGGACCAGAAAATTGGTTGACTGTTTTTTTTTTTTTTGCTTTTGGGGACCTATTGCAGAACAATATTGTGTAGTATCACGTCCTTGTGGTTTAACCTGAGCAAAGTACTGTTATAAATTGTTGAGCCAAAGAGTGGAACAATATCTTACGTACTAGTATTTTTTAGAGTGGATATTTTGTACAAATATTTGTTTTGTATGAAAGTTAAAGGGTGAAACTGAAAGGGCAAAGAGATATAACGCCACTCTGATCCAATATTTTTTACGCTTTTGAAGTTTAGAAAAAATTAAGGCTGAAAGCTCATCGTTAAAACATTTTCAGTTTTCCATTTCTAATTTTCATTTCTCCTCATTTAGGAGGGAACTAGAACGAGAAATATCATATGTCAAAAAAACTCCGTCCTTCTACGTGTTACTCTCATTTAAACAAATACCGAAATAAAGTTCTTATCTTTTCGCATCTCTATTTGCACTTTCACTGTCCCAAATATTTGCCGATATTTAAGTCCAATCTTATAGTCCAGATTGCACACCAGATTTACTCCTTTCATGAAAACTGTACTATTTTCTTCAGCCAAAGAGGTACCAATCATTGTATCAATTGTTAGAATCGCAAAGTCTAACGAGTCAAAAATTGTCATCTTTTCGGTGCACATTAAATGTAGTAGACTAGATCAATTGGATACTTTCTATATAGGCTTTAAAAGTAATTTCTAAATGCCAATTCTCAATGGTCTTGGACAGCAATTCTCAGTGAATCTTACAAATGTACTGATTTATGAAGAAATTACAGAAACTCAGAAGAATCAGGCAAACCAGGCGGCGGTCGACCGGTCCGGTCGACCGCATTCGTGCACAAGGCTTCCTGTGCGTCTGGAAGGAGATCGGTCGACCGGTGCGGTCGACCGACGGTTCTCTGGAGTTTGGGTTTTCTACTGAGAGCTGGTCGGTCGACCGGGCCGGTCGACCGGAATTGATCGCGGTCGACCGGTCCGGTCGACCGACGCTGTTTTGGGCTGGGCTTTCAGGTTTTCGACCCGATTCGTTTTGTAAGTTCTATATATACCTAAACCTGTTTGTTTAGGGTAGAGGTTGGACGAATTTGAGCAGCCAAAGAGAGAGAATCATTGCATCCAATTGTGAGAGAGCTTTGAGAGATCTAGAGCTTTGTTTTAGGGTTTGGTCTGAGAGATTTGTAACCCTATTTGTATTCTCTTGATTTCTAGTAGAAAGAACTCCCCCCTCCTTGCCCCGTGGACGTAGGCAACTTGCCGAACCACGTAAATTGTGTGTTCTTGCTGTGATTGTGGTTTGCATATTGTTTGTGGTTTAGTTCGAGTTATTGTTCGTGTTGCCCTAGAAAGCTTCCGCCGCGCACAACAATTGGTATCAGAGCTAGATCGACAACATGGGAGATGCAAGCACGTCAGGTTCGTCTCTAACAAAGGCGATACAGAGTCTGAGCATCAATAACACGAAGATTGATGTTCCGAAGTTCGATGGCAAGATCAATTTTGGATTGTGGAGGTGTCAGGTGATGGATGCTTTGGATGCACAGAATTTGGAGGAGACTCTTGAGTTAAAAGAGAAACCCGCTGAGTTGGAGGATAAGGTTTGGAGAAAGATGAACAGTAGAGCTTGTGGTGTTATTAGGTCATGCTTGACGCCGGATCTTATTTATGATGTTATGAACGAGACGTCGGCGAAGAAGATGTGGGAAACACTCAATGAGAAATATCTTACGAAGAGCATTGAGAATCGGCTTCACTTGAAGAAGAGATTTTACCAGTTCAAGATGAAGAGAGGGGTTTCCATCAGGGAGCATGTCAACAATTTCACTAAGCTACTTTCAGATATGGCCAATGTTGATATTATAGTTGAGGATGAAGACAAGGCGATGCTACTTCTGTGTTCGTTGCCCGAAGATGATTATGGTACGTTCGTTCTCACTATGATCAATGGAAGAACTACAGTTAGCTACAAGGAGGTGACCTCAGCTTTGGTGAACTATGAGTTGAGGAAGAGTGATGGTGAACCCTCCGAGAAGGCATCGGGAGATGCGTTAGCAGTTCGAGGCCGAGATCCAAACCGTCGTCAGTTTAACCGCTCAAAGTCAAAGAATAGGAGTGCCTATAAGAGTGTTGGTAGAAATCAATGTCGGTATTGTAAAGAAGAAGGACATTGGAAGATTGACTGCCCAAAGTGGAAAGAAAAAGCCGGAAAGAATAAGGGGAAAGCTGCACAAGCTTCAGAAGTGAATGTTGCAAAAGCTATTGGTGAGCATTCAGATTCAGATTCTTCAGGCTATTCATGCCCTGCTTTACCGTCGGTTTGCTATGCGGATTCCACGGAGTGGATGATGGATTCGGGAGCTACATATCACATCTGCCCTAAGAGGGAGTGGTTTTCTAGCTTTGAGGAGCTGGAAAGAGGGGATGTCGTGCTTATGGGTAATGATCACGTATGCCCTATTGGTGGTATTGGTTCAGTCCGGATCAGGATGCATGATGGTGTAGTGAGGGAATTGAAGGAAGTGAGGTTCGTGCCGCAGTTGACGAAGAACATCATTTCTCTTGGGACTTTGGAGGCAGCAGGATATCGAGTGATCTTAGAGGATGCTACAGTGAAGGTCACGAAGGGTTCTATGGTGGTGATGCGAGGTGTCAGGGAAAACTACCTATACTACTTGAAGGGCAAGACAGTTACAGGGGGTCTGGCAGCTTCTATCACTACAGAGGAGGACACTACCACCTTATGGCACATGAGACTTGGACACACAGGAGATAAGTCCCTACAGTCATTGGCTAAACAGGGGCTATTGAAAGGTGCTAAGACCTGCAAGATGGAATTGTGTGAGCATTGTGTACTTGGGAAGAAGACTAGAGTGAAGTTCGGCACCGCTGTTCATAACACCCAAGGTACATTGGATTATATTCACACGGACGTTTGGGGTCCTTCCAAGAACACATCTCTTGGTGGGGCCAACTATTTTGTCACTTTCATTGATGATTATTCCAGGAGGAATTGGGTATACCCGATGAAGCATAAACATCAGGTCCTGGATATTTTTGTGGAGTGGAAAAAGAAAGTGGAGCTGCAGACAGGTAGAAAGGTGAAGACTCTACGTTCAGATAACGGTGGAGAGTACAAGAGTGATCCGTTTCTGCAGTTTTGCCGGGATCACGGCATTAGAAGACACTTCACAGTTCGAGAGACACCGCAACAGAACGGGGTGGCTGAGAGATTGAACCGTACCTTGCTGGAGAAGGTGCGGTGTATGATGACGCAGAGTGGATTGCCTAGATCTTTTTGGGCCGAGGCGTTGGTTTATGCGAGCCATCTTGTGAACAGGTTGCCGTGCACTGCGATAGACGGGAAGACTCCTTTGGAGCGTTGGTTTGGTTCGGTGGCTAGTGACTATGAGTCGCTTCGGATATTCGGGTGTCCAGCTTATTATCATGTCAGTGATGGCAAATTAAATCCGAGAGCGAGGAAAGCAGTCTTTGTGGGATTTAGGGATGGAGTCAAAGGCTTCAAGTTATGGGATCCACAGGACAAGAAGATAGTTATTAGCAGAGATGTCACATTTGACGAGGCGTACATGATGAGGCCTCGAGCCCCTCAGCAGGTGGAGGGAGACCAGACAGGAGAGATATCGCAGCAGGTGGAGGATGATGTGACTCCACCCACTCCAGAGAACACTGTATCCATTGAGGCTCCTACAGAGGTGACACTGGGAGGAGATGAGATGACAGATGGGCAGATACAGGATACAGTAGATCATGGGACTCAGGAACAGGGTCATGTTCAGAGGACCATTGCAGCAGATAGACCGAGGAGAGAGATTCGTCGGCCAGCTAGGTATAATGATGTCATGGTCGCATATGCATTATCAGTGGAGGTCGTTGATGATATGGTTCCAGCCACATTCAGGGAGGCAGAGTCTAGCCCCGATTCGATCAGGTGGAGGGAAGCTATGAAGGAGGAGATGCGGTCTCTTCAGAAGAACGACACTTGGATACTTGCACATCTACCTAAGGGTAAGAAAGCTATTGGTTGCAAGTGGGTATATGCGAAGAAGGAGGTATCCTCTATTGGGGACATTCGGTTCAAAGCCAGATTAGTTGCCAAGGGATATGCACAGCTTGAGGGCATTGATTACAACGAGGTATTTTCACCCGTTGTGAAGCATTCGTCGATTCGGATTTTATTGGCGTTGGTGGCACAGTTGGATTTGGATTTGGTCCAGATGGATGTGAAGACAGCCTTTCTACATGGTGATTTAGATGAGGAGATCTACATGACACAACCACAGGGTTTCAAAGCTGCAGGAAAGGAAAATTTGGTTTGTAAGCTGAAGAAGTCTCTTTATGGTTTGAAGCAGTCACCAAGACAGTGGTATAAGAGATTCGACGGCTTTATGATTGGCCGAGGGTACACGAGGAGCCCATATGACCCATGTGTTTATATGCACAAGCTACAGGATGGTGAGCTCATATATTTGCTTTTATATGTTGATGATATGCTTATTGCTTCCAGGAATTCTTCAGCTATTCGAAAGCTGAAAGAGGAGTTATCATCCGAGTTTGAGATGAAGGATCTTGGAGAGGCAAAGAAGATATTGGGTATGGAGATCGAGCGAGACAGGGTGAAGGGGAAATTGAAGCTTACACAGAAGAGCTACTTGCAGAAGATGTTGAAGAAATTCAGCTTTGATGGCAATGCAAAAGCAGTTAGCACACCATTGGCTCCCCACTTCAAGCTTTCAGCGTTGATGTCACCTGTTTCAGTTGAGGACAGAGATTATATGTCGAAGGTCCCATATGCTAGTGCAGTAGGTAGCTTGATGTATGCGATGGTGTGTACGAGGCCAGATTTGTCACAGGCCGTGAGCATGGTATCGAGATACATGCATGACCCCGGGAAGGGTCACTGGGAGGCCGTGAAGTGGATTCTACGGTATGTTCGAGGCACCGTGGATGTTGGTTTAGTGTTTCAGAAGGATGAGAAGGACGGGCAGGCTTGTATTGGTTATGTGGATTCAGATTATGCTGGAGATCTTGACAAACGCCGGTCTACGTCAGGTTATGCTTTTACTTTGGCAGGTGCACCTGTATGTTGGCGTTGCACGCTTCAGTCCACAGTGGCTCTCTCTACTACAGAGGCAGAGTATATGGCAGTTACTGAAGCTATTAAGGAGGCTTTATGGTTGCGTGGATTATTGGAGGACTTGGGGATCACTCAGGAGACTATTCGGATATATTGTGATAGTATGTCGGCTATCTATTTGGCGAAGAACCAGGTTTATCATGCGCGCACGAAGCACATCGACGTCAGATTCCACTTTGTACGGGACGTCTTGGATGATGGAGATGTCATATTGGAGAAGGTCCACACGTACAAATGACAACCCTGCAGATATGATGACCAAAGTTGTTTCAGGAGTAAAATTTGGTCATTGTTTGAAGCTTTTGAACATCCTTCAGTGCTGAGGCCTTTGGAGGCCATTATTATGAACTACGTTCGGCTTGATTCATTGGGCAAGAGGATACGCGGTCGACCGACGGTTCTCTGGAGTTTGGGTTTTCTACTGAGAGCTGGTCGGTCGACCGGGCCGGTCGACCGGAATTGATCGCGGTCGACCGGTCCGGTCGACCGACGCTGTTTTGGGCTGGGCTTTCAGGTTTTCGACCCGATTCGTTTTGTAAGTTCTATATATACCTAAACCTGTTTGTTTAGGGTAGAGGTTGGACGAATTTGAGCAGCCAAAGAGAGAGAATCATTGCATCCAATTGTGAGAGAGCTTTGAGAGATCTAGAGCTTTGTTTTAGGGTTTGGTCTGAGAGATTTGTAACCCTATTTGTATTCTCTTGATTTCTAGTAGAAAGAACTCCCCCCTCCTTGCCCCGTGGACGTAGGCAACTTGCCGAACCACGTAAATTCTTGTTCTTGCTGTGATTGTGATTTGCATATTGTTTGTGGTTTAGTTCAAGTTATTGTTCGTGTTACCCTAGAAAGCTTCCGCCGCGCACAACAATTTATGATTTGCTCTTTGGGCAATATTTTCTGCGTAGACTAACGGAAGCAATTGTTATGTTTGAGCCACAGCTCACAACATGAAGATTCATTCTTTATGAATTATGATACGTAAAGGAACAAGAATTTACAACAACTTTTCAAGTTTTACACCTCTGAAGGAAATTTTTATTTGCAAACAATGCCAAGCTTCCATCGGTGCAAATAGATTAACGTGTACATATATTACAGGACCACATCAATTTTATTGTACAATAAAGAATTAAAGAGCAATTACTTCAGCTCTTCATGAATATGTTACAATCTATAATACTCTTTTGCAATCTCTCGCTTTTCTTTTCTTCTCTTCCACTTTTTCCACAGTGTGTCCCCTATAAGTTAACAGCCAAAAATTTACAAATATATATAGATAAATTAATAAAGAATTGATGTATAATTGCTCGTGTTTCTTACAGCGCTTCAGTAGACTGTCGCAGGCGAGGAAATTGAGCAGATTTTCATGTCAAGTAAGTATTCACACTTATGGCTCCACTGGATATACCTGTAAACGTTAAAATAAATTATACATCAAGAAAATGACATCATATGGAAATTTCTATAACTTAATCACTAAAGTTGGTGCTATTTCTAGCAGATAAGAGTATCTTGCCTGTGGAATTCTGTCATCATTGACATTTCTGTTCCTGAGCTTAAGTTCCCCTCTGCTGGTTGTGATCTCATCCAAAATCTCAGCATCACAGTCATCCTGATCAGTGGTTTCTTCAGAATCATCCCTCTCCTGCAAGAACAGTCGCATTTTCATTCTCGCTGTCAATATTATAAAATCAAACATAATTCATAAGAATGACGATTTGGTTTCCTGGTGAGGTACCTTAAGCGAGAGTGAGCGCGCACGACCAGGGGATCCAGCAATTTCTTCGTACTCAGCAGCGTCCATCTCTTGCAAATCATGCGCGCGAAAGAATCTTGGAAGAACATATTGCCTGAGACCGATCAATATGAAGAATGGCACAGGGAAGAGAACTCCGGCAATAGGTATCCAAGTGATCCCGAAGCACAGAAGCAGATACAGGGATTGGAATATTGTGAAGGCTGCTATCGCCTTAAAGGGCACAGTCTCCACAAATGAAGCGTGATCTCCTTCTAAAACCCTGTCAAATGCGAAGAAAATCATAAACAAATTTAGTGTAAATTTCACAAAACCCGCCTTAAGTTTTGTCAAATAACCCCGCAAACCTATGCTGTTATACATTCAACTGCGCACGTGAAAATCACATGCGCCTGAACGCCTATAATGCCCCTGATGATAAAAACTTTTGCATTTCCTTTTTAATAATTTTAAGGGTAATTTGATGTAACCCCTGAAATTTGCCCGATTTTAGTGTTAAATTCAATTAGGATTTAATCAGGGTAATTAGTTTCACAATTTGAGTGCTAATCTGAAAAGGGTATTTTGAACGTTTCCTGATTTCATCAAACAGAGTTGGGAGGTTAACGGAAAATTGAAACAAGAGGAGTTCTCTAGGGAAGCTTTACTTGAAACGTCTACGAGGAGAAATGAAGAGAAGAAGCACTCTCTGCCAGAATTGGTTTCCGTCGAGGCTATCAATTGCCATGAAAGCAAAATATCCCCAGAGAACTGATGTCGGTATCTTCTTGATGAGAGGCATAGCCAAAAGACAAATACCAACAAGAATTGACTGCAAGAGGTTGGTTAGTCTCTGTTCGTTCACTCGAACTGGCAAATAAGCCTCAACGTGCTTGTCAGGATCGAATGGACCCTTTTGCTCGCTGCTGCCTTCTTCTCTCATGACTGCAGAAGATATTGTAGCCAACTACTAAACCTTTCGGGTTTTTATGTATCACACTGAGAAACAAAATGTACTTAAAACTCTCTCCGGAAAAAGTAACTAAAAAGACTTGTGACCTTGGATCTTGGTGTTAAGACCTCAGCAGGATTTTCATCCATTTGTATGAAGACTTCTTGCATTTTATCATATATTTCTGAGCTGCTGGCATCTTGCTTCATGCCCAACTTGGCAGTCTTAACCATCCTCTTCCGAAGTAGCTGAAGATTTTAACACAAAAACATAACATTTACTTCTAAATCAAACTAATGGATAAAGACATGAGTATGGTAAAAAAAAAAAAAATTTCTCACCTGCTTCTTGAGAACAGAAAGGCTCTTTGTGTGCATTGGGGACTGAGGGAGAACCCCGTTCGAAGGAGGAATTCCAAGTACTCCACAAACCAAAACCTGAAATTTAGAAACTCTCATAAATAATGAGAAATATGTGGAAAATTGAGATTTGCTTTTCTCTTAAAGGAAGATGATAGGGAACAGTTATATACCATGATGCCAAGGACCAAAATGTCATAGTGATAAGCGGAAGGTTTTTTTAGATTAAATTCAGTTTGCTGAGACATCTTTGAAGCAACACTGTGATCAAAAAAATAAAGGCCGGTGACCATGATCGCAGGCAGTATAGCTGCCAATATGTATACTGGGGGAACTGAAAACAAGTCCTGCAGTTGCCAGTTAAGAGTCAACACAAAATTCTATCTTTTGAAGCGATAAACGGACATGGAAATATTAATGAAATAAATTGAAAGAAATTCGTCAAACAAACATTTTCACCTAAGTTCTTCAATGAAAATGCGGTGTCTCTTTCACCGACAGGATAATATATACGTTGCAAGAGATAAATCTTATTTTGTGGCAGTAAAAGGTTAAACCATAGAAACTTTGTGCAGTGGAAACGCCAAACAGTAACTGTTTGGTAGGTAAACAAGAAGTATCAAAAGAAACATTGTGACATACTAGAAACACAGTCAAACTCTGCGTAACTAAAATTATAGGAAAATAATCAGATGAATATATAGAAGAACAATGAACATAGGTATATCAGTACTATGTAGATATGCATAATGTAACTTAACAAAGTCTTTTTTTCTTCTTAACAAATTTATTGAGATGACTACAACTGACAAAGCTAAGTAGCGCATAAATACCTTATAGTTTCCCCTACTTCACGGTACTTATGTATCCTTAGAGCATCTCCAACCGGGCGTCAAAGTGGGCGCTATCTTAGTGCGCTGCTATAGTGTTGCGTCAGGAATGGCGCTATTGAGTTGGGTTTTTTATTTTTTTGCTTTTGTTTTTTATATTTTTATTAATAATATATATTATTTTATATTAACTATTATGACATAAAAATTAGGACATAAAAAAAGTACACATAAATTAGAACATAAAAAATTAACACTAATTAGTTGAATTTATGAAAATAATATTTTAATTTGATTTAGCATTTAATTTTTATATTTTTATTTTAGTCATAAAATATATTATAATAATTAATTATATGTAATGTATTATATAATTATATAATTTGTTACATATTTTAAATAGATAAAAATGTTGAAAGATAAGAATAATAAAAGGAATATTCTTTTTGGTGTAAACTTTGGTGTAATTGGTTGGAGATGGAATAGTGATTTGATGTAAAAACTACACCAACTTGGTGTAAAAACTACATCATTTTGGGTTTTTGGGTTGGAGATTGCTCTTATGTGCTTTTTGTCAACATTCATATGTCCCAAAGTTTTAAAATTGGCACTTCAGTGTACCTTTTGTTAGCAACATTAGAATATCTCCCTAAATATCCCCATATGTCATTCACACGCTCTAATAACTTTTTAATCCTTACTGTCTGTTGAATTTCCTGTTCAATCTACCTACATTCAATTTTAGACTTACCCCAGATCTATTTTAATATGAAATTGAGTTAAGTTCAGCATTAAATTGGAATAAGTTCTATCTCAAAAAAAAGTTGATACCTTTGCGACACTCCAATGCTCCAAGGATTTGCTGTCCCAAGGAAGAGGGCTATAGAGTCTCCGAGGAACTCCAGAAGGAATGCTTCCAGGTACTGCATATGACATTGCTGTCCACGCCATAACCATCAGAGGAACCCCATAGTCTGCAATCAAAGCTCTAGACCAGCCTGCATTCACGGTAATAATGATAATAATAACACATTTAATCCAAACTCGGCGCGAAATTAACGGGCCTCGGTTATGGAAGAAACTAACCTGACCCATATGCCCATGATCTTGCCCTTCTGCTCTTAAGAGATGTGAACAACACCCCAGCGCAGAATATGAGACCCAATAGTCCATTTGTGTATCTCCATACAAAATCAAAAGTCGGTAGGTTCTCATCCTCGCCTTTAGGAATGGAAAATTCACCCACAGCTCCCTGTAAATAAGATACGATAGTTACAAAGTACTTGATCAGTTGGGTCGAGGACTTCCATCTAGTGAGCTTTCAGTTCACCTTGATAGCCTGCTGGACGAAAAGCACTGTGATCAACATCCCGAAAAGCTCTTCTGCAATCCTCGTAAACCTGCCAATTATAGAAGCGGCATTGAACACTGCAAGAAGTATCAGCATGATAGCTGTCCAGATCCAAACCCTGCAGTTGATAAACACAAGCAAGTTCAAACTACTCGAAGCAGAAAAGAACGCCAAAAAAACAAAAAAGGTTTCTCGAGTTCAAAATGCTCTGTACCATGCAGCCCAAGCCAAAAACAACTTTGTGCCAAGATCTTGGCGCCCTTTGGCAAAATGATACATGTAGGAATACATTATCACTGTGGGTTCTGCAACACCTAATATCAACATAGGCTGCCCCCCGAGTACTGAGTGTATGATACCACAGAGACAAGTAGAAGTTAAAGTGTCGACGGTGGTCAGTAATCCATCTACAACAGGCCAACATACAGAGCTCTTAGAAAGTTTTATAGTGAGAGATGCGTTTTATTGATGGCCTTTTGTTTTCTCCACAGAATCACCTTTAAAATGGAGGTGATATTACAAAAACTAATTTAGAGTTCAATTGAAAGAAAAGTACCTTTTAAGAGGACTTTGGGAGCAATCAGCCACCTTGACCTTACCATTAAAATTTCTATTGGAAAAAAATATTATGTTCTCTATTAATGTACTAGTGATGACACAGTCAATATGTATCCATGTAGGGATGAGTTTGTTGAGGATTGATGAGGGGCTGCTTTATTCCCCGACTTTATATCTGGTTCTTAAGTTGGGTGTCTAAAAAATCTATACGTGCAAAAATTTATAAAAGGGCAGGGCTTGATTCCCCCATTGTACTTCTGACGATCAAGTTAGCTGGTGAACTTGAGTTGGGTAAATAAGAACTGTGAAAGTTCTTGTATGAATATAGTATGATTTGCAGCTTTTGAGAATTTGGATTAGAATCCAGAGTTCAGCTCCCGTCCAAGTTGAAATAGTACCTCTATTTATACCAAAGATGTAAGGGTAGATTGGTCACTTCGACCGAGCACTGAGAGGCGGTGGCAAAGTGTGGGCTGACGGCTGCGTCGGCACCTGCTTTACAGGTGTTAGCTGATGACTGAGGGAAGGATCACTTCAGCATTAAACGAGAAGTGAGTGGTGACATGACGGTACCACACGTGGTATGATGAGTCATAAAGGTTGTCGGGGTTAGAGGCATGATACGTCTGTCATGCATTAAATATGATATTGACAAGTTGCCAGTGAGAGAGGCTAGAGGCAAAAGTTGTCCTTTAACTTCACCGGGAAGTAACACCTATCAAGTCGTCCTCGTGAGGCGTTGAACAAATGATCGAGTAGACTCTTGGCGAGTCGTCTTTGACAAAAGGGTCGACCGGTATCGTCTTTCGAGTCGACATGAAGGAATATCGACTCGACAAGTCGGCTAAGTCGGAATCCTCACTGGGCCTGGGCCGCTAAGTTGATTGGGGCATTGTATGCAGAAGTACACTTGTCCGTTGCTTGGCAATGAATTGTGTTTTGACGAAATGGGAACACCATAACATTCTTAAATTCTAACCTTTTGTTTTCATTTCCTATTGACCTAATCTTCTTTCCTATTTCAGTGTTTTAAGCCTTCAATTTCTTCTTCTCAGCTAGAAGCATATTCAATATTTAAAAGTCAAGGTGGTTGATGTTGGGAATTTAACGCCTAAATCCCCTAATGCAACAGAAACGCAGAATAAAGAACAGTACACCAAGTTTTAACGAGGTTCGGCAACTGCCTACGTCCTCGGGAGCCACACAGTCAATTTCTTATTTAATCTAACAAGAAATTACAAATCAAGAGCAAATCTCTAAACTGAGATTCCTCAAACAAACACTGTAGCTACAGTGTTAATACCCACAATATAAAACCCCCCTTCTCTTTTCTCTCTCTTCTTAAAATCCCTATCTTTATCTCCCCTCAAAATGGGATTGAGAGCTGGAGATCAAAATCGCTGCTGCGATTTAAAGGGGATGAACGCTGCTGCGTTTAAGAGAGTTGAACGCTACTGCGTTTGGGGTTTTTCACCGCCGCCAGAGAAAGATCGGGGGAGGAGGAGCAGCCAAAACCCTAGGCGATGGGGTTCCTTTTATAGACGAGATCGATGACAGGCTGGTGACAGCCCGTCGCCAGCGGTTGATCGGATGCGAGCGTCACCCAAAAAACGCGAAGGTCGGAGCTCTGAACGCGGGGGTCGAGTCGCGTTAACACCGAGGGTCGCGTTCTCCACCGAGGGTCGCGTTCGACCCAAACGAGGGTCGCGTTCGTCGTCGAATTCGCTGAGTCGACGTCCACGCTCGCCTGCAACATCCTGGAGCTCGTCGGAGCTCCTCCGTCAGCGGAGGTTGGTATCCACCCCAACCTAACCACCCCAACCTAACAATCTCCTACTTGGAGACCAAACCGACGTCAACAGGCTATCTCATTAAGCTCCTCTCTTGTGTGGCTCCGCCTTCATCATCTATGCATGAAGGCCAACTGAAGTTGCGCACAACTCCAGTTTCTGAAAGGTCACTGCCTTTGTCAACATATCCGCTGGATCCGTTCTTCCTTGGATATTCTGTTGAAATCCTCTAACAACTTGTTGGGCTCTGTATCTTCTGGAACCATCTTGTTCCTTCTTCACTCGATACACCCACTTGTTGTGACGTGCCTTCTTCCCCATGAGAAACTCAGCTAGTCCCCATGACTGGTTGGAGATCAGAGATTTCTTCTCTTCTTTCGCAGCAAACTCCCACTTGCTCGCATCTCCACTCTGACAAGCTTCATCGAAGCTTTCAGACTCTCCTCCATTTGTCAGCAACATATAATTCATGTATCTGCTGTTAGGCACAGGAGGACGAGTAGTTCTCCTCAATATCGGAGCTGGTGCGTCGGGCTCCTGCGCACCATTCTGTTCAATAGTCTCTTCTGGCTGAGGACCTTCTGCATTGGGTTCTTCCGAGAGGTTATCTAGGACATCATCTGCATCTACAAACGTTGACTCGCTCTCTGAGTCACCATCATCTGTCTTGTACATGTCCTTGTACATCACCTTATCGTTGAATGTCACATCTCTGCACCTGATCACCTTCTTGTTTTCGTTGTCCCAAATGCGGTAGCCGAACTCGTCTTCACCATACCCGATGAATGTGCATTTCTTAGACTTAGGATCAGGCTCATTCCTGCCTTGATCACTTATATGCACATAAGCTACACAACCGAAAACTTTAAGATGTGAGTGGGTTACCTCCTTTCCGCACCATACCTCTTCTGGTATTCTGTGCTCTAATGGAACCGATGGACCTCGGTTGATCAAGTAAGCTGCTGCGTTGACTGCTTCTGCCCAGAACTGCTTTGGTAGACCTGACTGCATCTGAATGCTTCTGGCTCTCTCTGTTAACGTTCTATTCATGCGCTCAGCCACACCATTGTGCTGAGGCGTGCCGGGCACGGTCCTCTCCATTCTGATACCGTGCTCATAGCAGAACTTCTTGAATCTGGTGTCTTCATACTCACCACCATTGTCTGTTCTGAGTTTCTTTACCCTCAAACCGGTCTCATTCTCGACCATGGCTTTCCATCTTCTGAAAGCCTCATACACTTCTAACTTTTTCTTCAGAAAGTAGACCCATACTTTCCGAGAGTGATCATCAATAAAAGTCACGAAGTAGTGTTTCCCACCAATCGACGCGGTGGTTGTTGGTCCCCAAACATCTGAGTGAACAAGCTCTAGCTTCTGCTTCCTGGGGGCTCTGCCACTTGTCTGAAAGCTAACTCTCTTCTGCTTTCCAAGTATGCATTCTTCACACACATCAATCTCTACTGATTGTAAACCTGGGAGTTTTCTCTTTGTGTGCATAACCTTCATCCCCTTTTCACTCATATGACCGAGTCTCTGGTGCCACAGCTTTGAAGTCTCATTGCCTGCCGCAACTGAGATCGAACAACGTGCACCCGCTGTCATATACAGGGTATCAGTCTTCCTGCCTCTGACAATCGTCATTGCGCCTTTCGAAATCCTCCAATCATCACTATGGAAAGTCATCGTGTAGCCTTCACTAGCCAGCTGGCTTACTGAGATTAAGTTCCTCTTCAGGTCGGGAATATACCTGACATCCTTCAGCTCCCATACTGACCCATTCAGCTTAATCTTCACTACACCTTTGCCAATAATGGCACATGCTTGATCGTCACCAAGATATACATTTCCAAGGTTTCCGGGGATATACTTCTCGAGGAATCCTTTCTGAGAGGTAGCATGAAATGATGCTCCCGAGTCCAACACCCAAGACTCCTCCTTGCTCTCCAAAAAGCATATCAGCGCATCATCTCCTCCTGAGGTGGAGGCAACGTTCACATCTGCATTTGCCTCCCACTCCTCTTGGATTCCTTGACTTAAACATCTTGTCCTTTGATCTACCTCTATAGTTTGATTTGTCTCGTCCATTCTCTCTGGTTGAATTTCTACCTCTTGACTTTGTATGCAATACTGAAGAGGTTGTAGCTTCACCCGACTCTCTCCGTCGGATCTCCTCACTGAGAACCAGATCACGAACGTCGTCAAATTTCAACTTATTGCTTCCCGATGAGCTACTCACAGCTGTGACCGTAGCGTTCCAACTCTCTGGTAGGAAAGACAAAAGGATCAACGCTCGAACTTCCTCATCAAACTCAATATCAACTGAACTCAATTGGGTCGTAACTGTATTGAGTTCATTGAGATGATATGCTACCGATGCACCTTCCGCCATTCGCAGATTGAACAACCGCCTCATCAAATGGACTTTATTTGAGGCTGATGGCTTCTCATACATATTTGAGAGTGCTGCCATAAGATCTGCCGTGGTCTTCTCCTTTGCAATGTTAAAAGCAACATTGCGGGTTAACATCAAACGAATAACCCCGAGGGCTTTTCTGTCCAGAAGATTCCAATCATCTTCCTTCATACCCTCCGGCTTCTTCTCCGAGAGAGGTTGATACAGATTTTTCTGATACAAATAATCCTCTATCTGCATTTTTCAGAATCCGAAATCTGATCCATCAAACTTCTCTATTCTCACTTTTCCCTCATCTGCGGCCATGGCTCCCACTTGAATCTGACTTCCTCTAGATCGTTTCACGCTCTGATACCAGTTGTTGGGAATTTAACGCCTAAATCCCCTAATGCAACAAAAACGCAGAATAAAGAATAGTACACCAAGTTTTAACGAGGTTCGGCAACTGCCTACGTTCTCGGGAGCCACATAGTCAATTTCTTATTTAATCTAACAAGAAATTACAAATCAAGAGCAAATCTCTAAACTGAGATTCCTCAAACAAACACTGTAGCTACAGTGTTAATACCCACAATATAAAACCCCTCTTCTCTTTTCTCTCTCTTCTTAAAATCCCTACCTTTATCTCCCCTCAAAATGGGATTGAGAGCTGGAGATCAAAATCGCTGCTGCGATTTAAAGGGGATGAACGCTGCTGCGTTTAAGAGAGTTGAACGCTACTGCGTTTGGGGTTTTTCACCGCCGCCAGAGAAAGATCGGGGGAGGAGGAGCAGCCAAAACCCTAGGCGATGGGGTTCCTTTTATAGATGAGATCGATGACAGGCTGGCGACAGCCCGTCGCCAGCGGTTGATCGGACGCGAGCGTCACCCAAAAAACGCGGAGGTCGGAGCTCTGAACGCGGGGGTCGAGTCGCGTTAACACCGAGGGTCGCGTTCTCCACCGAGGGTCGCGTTCGACCCAAACGAGGGTCGCGTTCGTCGTCGAATTCGCTGAGTCGACGTCCACGCTCGCCTGCAACATCCTGGAGCTCGTCGGAGCTCCTCCGTCAGCGGAGGTTGGTATCCACCCCAATCTAACAGTTGATTGCTACTGGAACCCTCTTTAAAGATGGTTTCTGTATTAACTAAATTTTAAAGAAAGTTTTTTCTATTTCCACCCTTTTTTAAGGTGGTTTCCGTGGAGAAAAAAAGCTTTATTAATAGAATATTCACCTGTATCTTTACTTAGTTGCTCCCCGAAAGCAATTACGGGAAGTGCAGAAGCGAAAAAGATGTACAAGGTAGGAGCCATTATCCTAGAATTGAAGAACAAGAATCAATCTAGGTGCAAGAGTTGCATAAACATTAATCAATTAGTGATCTATTTTCCTAATATATAGATACCTGAAGCCTGTAGCAGTTCCTTCAACCCAATCTTGTTTGTAGCATTGTGCCCTCCCTTTGATATCCTTGATGACCCCTTGAAGTGGAGCCCCCATTTCTAAGATGAAATAATCAATCAAGAATTATCATGTAATGTTTCTCTACAAGCCTAAATCAGGAGGAAAAATATAGGAAGCAAAAGGTAACAAGGAGTACAATTAATTTGATTTTTGAAGAGGGAGGGAAGCTTGTGAGAATTATATTAGCTTAATATGCAATGTTAGTTATCATACTTCATGATATAAGATTAGTAATCCTATAATTTACTTGGAAAAAAGGGTGAGCACCTTTTTTCTTCCTCTTTTTTTTTTTTTTTTTTTTTTTTTTTTTCCCTCCTTTTTTTTTTCTTTTTTTTTTTTTTTTTTTTTTTTTGCTTTTCCCCCTTTAACAACAACATATATATGTAAAAGGAATTCATATACACCTAAAAATTAATTCCAATGTGCTTTAGTGTAAACTGCGTTTAAAACATCCTTCAGCAAAAAGACTTTTCTCGTGGTGAGCCCTCTAGGATTTCTTTTTCCTTGACGCAAAAGGACATCAGATATCTTAGCTGAGACTAAGATTAGATTAGGTGTCAAAGGGTTTGGGATATTAGGAATGTATAGATACGGACATAAATAATTTGTAATTGAGTAGAACAAGAATCATGCATTTAGATTAATAAGGAATATAGCACCCCATAGTTTTGATTAGGAAAAAAATATTTAAGAACCCAGTTTGCACTTTGCACCACGAAAATGAAAAATGCTTCTACTATTATTTGTAAGAATGAAGAAAATTCCTCCGAGATTTTTATTTTACCCGAAAATAATAAATTCGAGACGAAAGAAACGATGGAATGGATCGGCACCAAAAGGACTTCACTGAGAATGCTGGTTGTTATTTTAAAAAAAAAAGGGAGGGTGAGGGAGCAGCGGAGGAAAAGAGAAATGTAGAGGAGGCGGCGGCGGTAACTGCTCCCTTATGCTCACCGGAGGAACGTCAGATATCGCCGTAACCGCCCTCCCTCTCTCTCTCTCTCTCTCTCTCTCTAACCTCCCTCTGTTTCCCTCCTCTCAATTTCTCTCCTTCTTGTTCCCTCTCGTTGCCGAAATAGGAGGACGAGCTCCTCTTTTCCCGCCTCCTAAAAACCATCTCGACCCACAGTGGGCCCTGCGTCTCTGGGCTTCGTTCTAGGCACACGTGGCGCCTGCTCAATGGTTCCGTTCGGACGTGGGAGAACTGTTGCGGACGTGCATACGCTTTGCTCTTTAAACTTTTCGCTGACCTCTGATGATTTACTGGGTCGCACTGAGGTCGCCACCTCAGGAGTGCGTTGGCCGACTCTGTGCTGAAATTGCCTCTACGGACCTTTTGTCAATGCTTTTGCCTTCCAATTGTGTCGTACAAAAGTATGAACCCTTTATTTTATTTTCAGGGAAAATTGCTTCTAGCCCCCAATTTCCTAACAACTATTCCACTTCCTCCCAAGACTTTTTCAACGCTCTCAAAACCCGCAAAAGTAAATTTATTATTCTCTGGGCTCCAAAACACAAAACCCCAAGAGTTTAAAACATGTGAAGACCATAATACTCTTTCTTTCTCTTTTTTTTTCATGATCCAACGGCAGTGGACTCACCCTGTCTTCTTCCACCGGCCACCGCCGGTTCTTTCCCGGCGCCGCTGAAGCTCGAGAGAGACGGTTTCATTTGAGGGCGTCGTGGACTTCCCCGTTGAGGGGTCCTCGAGTACGTTTGTCGCCGGGTAATTTCACTTCGCCCTTTTTTTGGGTCATTGTCGGCGTTTTTGTCAAGAATAAGAAATCAGTTCTTTTATGAAATATTGTATGTATGAATTTAGATAACCTACGATTTCTTAAGATTCTTTTTCTTTTTTTTTTACGGACAAAGGTTGAATTTTTGTCTCATTATAATTTGATTGTGTCATTGTAATTCTATTCTAATGCATTTCTTGAATTTGAGGGAAAATATTCAATTCATTTGTTTTCTGATATTTGAGGTTTGATCTATTTTAGAAGAACAGTTCTTATAATCAACAATTTTAATTTGGGATTTTTTGGGGGTTATAGGCTCTACTTCACTCGTGTAAAATTAGGAATCAAGAACGGAAAGAGTCAAGAATGGGTTAGTAGTTGTGAAGGTTACGCGTTAGTTGTGAAGGTTACGGGTTGGTTTGTGGAGATTACGTGTTGGTTGTGAATGTTACGGGTTGGTTGTGGAGGTTACGGGTTGGTTGTGAAGAATACGTGTTGGTTGTGAATGTTACGGGTTAATTGTTAAAGTTACAAGTTAATTGTAAAGATTATGTGTTAAGGGTGGGCATAATACTTGAAAGAAAATTGGGGCCTGGAAGCAATTTCCCCAAAGATATAACATCACTCTTTGATCATAATATTTTGAAAACTATAAACTAAACAAATCACAGCCAATCACATACCAGGTGCATAAAAACCAAATTAAGCATCAGAGTAAGGCGTAATCACCGACATTATCTGCTATTTTCATCTAACAAATTACAGCAGCAATAGTGCGAGGAGGGCTTACAACGTGAATTATACGCCATACAACTTACCAAAAAAAAAGCATTGCATGTCTTCACCAGAAATATCATGTTAGAAAAGATCGTGTGGGTTCCCGCTATTGCTTCACTGTGTTAGGATATTTATGAGAAACTTACAGGTACATAAAACCCATGGCCACCGCCTATAATATTAAACACTGAGAATAAAATGTTACGGAGTTGATTGTGTTGACTGTGAAGGTTTACTTTACAACTAATGTGTAATCTTCACAACCAACGCTTATCCTTAACAATCAACCCGTAACCTTAACAACTAATCCGTAATCTTCACAACCAACGCATATCCTTCACAACCAATCTGTAACCTCCACAATCAACGTGTAACCTCCACAACCAACGTGTAACCTTCATAACTAACCTGTAACCTTCACAAATCCCAGAAGCTCTGCGCACGCTCCTCGCACGCTCGATCGCGCTCGCCGGAGGGGGAGGTTGAGGACTATAGGTGCTTGCCGACGGCGAGGCCGGCCTAGAGATGTAGAAAGCGATGGCGGCACTAGGGTTTAGGGTTAGGCATGGATGGGAGAGCATGCGGCGGTAGTAGATGATCTCGGAGGCGAACTAGTCGGTGGAGAACCAGAACATGAGGAGGTCTGAGGGGATGACTCCGGCGAGGTCGGTGGTGGCGCTCAGTCTGAAGACGCCATTGAAGAGGGCATCACAACGGGAGGTCAAGGGGTTTAGGTCGGCGCAGTTGTCATAACTCCTTGTTGAAGAATGGGGGCAGGTCGTAAACAAAGACTTTGCCTGAGGTGCACTCGTCAGCGGTGGATACGACGACTGTCGGAGGCGGAGAACGGCGGAGGTGGCAAGAGAGATGGCAGGTGGAGATGAGGAGGGCGAGTTGGATGGTGAGGACGGCGGCGAATAGAAGCTCACGCTGGCGGGGGCTTAGGGATTCCAGTTCTTGATTCTTTCCATTGGATCATGAAAAAAAGAGAGAAAGAAAGGGTATTATGGTCTTCACATATTTTAAACTCTTAGGGTTTGTGTTTTAGGGGCTCAGGGAATAATGAGTTTACTTTTGAGGGTTTTGGAAGCGTTGAAAAAGTTTTGGGAGGGGGTAGAATAGTTATTAGGAAATTGGGGGGCTAGAAGCAATTTCCCCTTTTTTTAATTGCTGTCAAATTTTATGAGCCATCAGAACCTCACCATAAGGTGTGTTTGATAGATTGCAACTGTAGTTGCGATGCAACATCACTTGTATATAACTGAGAGGTCACTTGTATATAACTGAGAGGTTATAACTACTATTGCATATAATAGCAGTTACGACTGTTTGGTTTAATTCTTAAATTATCAACTTATAGTTACAATTGTTTGCAAGTTCTTCTTATGCAACTCTTTCTTTACTTCTAAAAACTAAAAACTTAGTATTAGTTAATTGTATATATTTAAGATGTTCATTTTTTTCAAGATAATATTTTTTTCTTTTTCAAATTTTTTCTAAAATAATAAATTTTTAAAAAGAAATAATTTTAAACTAAATTTTAGTTGAAATTGTTATTTTCAAAATAGTACTTTTGGAAGAATAATAAATTTTATAAAAATATTTTTTTCTAAAACTTATAATATTTTCTTGAAAAATAATTTTTTGAAATAGTTATCTACAAATTTATTCAAAGAAAACTTTTATAAAAATAATATTCATGTTAAATAGTATTTTTTGAAGAATATAATTTTTCCAATAATAATATTTTTTCCAAAAATAATATTTTTTAAAAGATAATATTTTTTTCTAAAACAATAATATTTTTTCTAAAAATAATAATATTTTTAAAATTAAATGATTTCTAAAAAATTAGTTTTCTAAAAAGATCATTTTAAGAATAAAAATATTTTTAAAAATAATATTTTATAGGAAAAATTTTAAAATAAAATTATTTTCAAAAATATTTTAAATTTCAAAAAAAAGTTTTATAAAACTATTTCAAATCTCTAATGAAGTTCTTAATTTTTTTTGAAAATTTAAACAATACTATCGAGATAATAATTTTTTATTAATTTAGGTTAGTTACAACTAGGGCTGAGCATGATTCGGTCCAAACCGAAAAAACCAACCGAACCGACCCGAACCGACCCGGAAAAATCGGTGTTAAGAGTAGGGTGGTTCGGGTCGGTTTGAAAACTTTTCAACCCGAACCGACCCGAACCGACCGAATATAGTGCAATACTACTCATTCTAATCTCAAACTCTATCCGACCCGTCCCCAAAGAGTCAAAGACTCAAACCCTAAACTCATTTTCTAAATCATTATGGGTTGAAAACAACATCATTATATCAGTGTTTAATGCTTCATAATCTCCTACTTTGTTGATATCTTTTTTTCTTTAACACGGTTTGTTGTTTGATAAGAAGTTTGATGAAGTTAGAACCGAACAAACTGAACCGAACCGCACCGAACCGACTTGCAACAATTCGGTTCGGTTTTGAATTATAGACGGTTCGGTTCGATTGTTTAAATTTTGGTAAAAACCGAACCGAACCGATAGTTGCACACCCCTAGTTACAACCAACTTATAAGTGCGTCTTGTGTTCAAAATGATGTGTAAGTCAAAAACTACAACGAGAGCGTAATTTGTAACTATAATTTTAACTATAACATCTAGTTGTAATGAAACAAACACTTAAAACTGAATAAAAATAAACGGGTTACATGAAATTACAATTACAATCCCTTCAACTACAACCTACAAAACACACCCTTCGTCTAGTTATCACTGCCCACGCGTGGCTTCAATTTGGACCTTTATTCTTGTGAAGCCTACCCCATAAGTTGTTAAATTTCACGCTACACTTCTTTTATTTCTTTTGGAGAAATTATGTTTACACGCAGTCGTGGTAGGACAACTTTGAAACAAGGACAAATTTTAGTTTTAGACCTTTTTAGGCATTTATTTCCAAAAATCGACTCCTTTCAGATTTATTTGCAAATGTCGACCTAGTTTTAGTCAGATGACTAAAAAACTAGGTCAAAATTTATGAATAAAGTTAAAAAACTTCATGAGATTTAAAATCATGTAAAGTTATGTTCTTAATTGATTGCGCTAACCAAAAAGTCTTGGCTCAGACGATAAACTGCTACTAAACTTCACGGGATTTTAAATCTCGTAAAGTTTATATTAAACAAATTTCATAAAATAAGTAGTTATATATAGAAACAAATTTCATAAGACTTGGATGGGAAGCACATTGTTTGAATCCTAGCCCTGTAAAATTTTCTAAATGATCAAGGAAAAAAATATGTTAGGATAAAATTCGAACTCAAGACCACTTGAATGATTGAAGTTTAGCCTTATTTGAGCAAACCACTTGGCCAAGTATGGTAAGCATGTTATATTGAACTCTCCGGGATTTAAAATCTCATGGAGTTAGGCTAATTCTAAACTTCACGGATTCTAAATCCCGTGAAGTTTTTCAACTTTATTCGC